TTTCACTCACAGGTGGTTTCCGGGGACCGGTCGCACGGATCAACTGAAATAATCTCCGGGCATTACCGGCTTTCTGGGCCTCTTCCATTTCTTTGTCTTTTTGTGTCCACTATACTTCACGGTCGGATCGCAAGCTCACTTTCACTTGACGTCTGATAACTCTTCGCACCGGGTTATGTTCGGGACCGGCTGGGATATTTCTTCGAAAGGAGAGGAGAAACGGTGTGGAGGGATCGAAGCCTGTGAATGGAGGCCAAGTTGTACGCGACGGTTCTATCCGTCGTCCTCTTGTTGAAACACTGCTGGGATATTTCTTCGAGATTTAAGGAGAAACGGTGTGGAGGGATCGAAGCCTGTGAATGGAGGCCAAGTTGTACGCGACGGTTCTATCCGTCGTCCTCTTGTTACATTGAAACACTGACCATGTACCGGCGAAATAGAGGTCATGGTCAAATTCAACCACCTACCTTTGGCGGACATGTTTACCAAGTGGACCAGAACAGGATTTCTAAGGAACCTATATATGGTCAGCCGAATATGAAAAACAAAGCCTTAGCAGATAAAAGCCTGGATATAGGAATATTTTTGTCGGAGGTCCAAGGGCCGCTTGGGTGGGTCTCGTGAAATAGGAAGCGTGGGCAAAACATGATGGCGCGGAGGGTAACGGCACGAAATTGAGTTATTCAATTCAGCGATTGCTAACTTCGAACCAGAAAGCTCAAGCTTCCTTCGGGTGGCATACCAGCTAGGCACCGGAAGGGTGTTATAGCTGAACGATTTTTTGTTTGTTTCGACGGTGTATCAGCGAATATAGTGAATTTACCAATTCCTCCGTAGTTTTTCCAGGTAACCGAATAGTTGAGTCTGCGGAAATCATCGAACTGACCTTCCGTGATCATCACCGTAGGGAATATCACCTCCGAAAATGCCGACTGGGCGTGCTGATGGCTTTAGATCTGCTGCCTGTTCACTCTCCAGGCTTACGTCTGGTACAGGGCTTCAGGTGAGTGCTCATTCGGCTCAGCGCGTACCGTGTGTGGCATTGCGGAGTGTGCGCGAGTGTGGTTCGACGTGACAGACCAATCCAGAAACGGATTTCACCCCACCATGTAAAAGAGATAGCCTTAAAACTTACCTAGGTACCTGGGGAGCATAACTGCGTCACAGGTGCCCGGACACGGTTGAACTCGTGAATTCTATTGGCTCCTTTGATGTGAATTCCAAATAAGGTAGTCAAAAAAACAAACCACCTGAATCAAACTGATGAGTTTGAGCTAGGAGATAGTTATTCGAACCACTACTACCTCGAGGACCGCACCTAATGATTAAGGGCCAGAGGTAAGCCCCGCGAGCGAGAGATGAATACCATTGAGTGGGTGCTCCGGGAAGCTCCATGACGGTTCTGATAAGTAGGAATCTACAAAAGCTGGTTCATCTTCTCGTACAAGCTAGTGAAAGAGTTAAGATCCATCCTATACCGACAGGTGTGGTAAACTGCACATGAAATAGGCGGGAAGCTTCGGGTGACTGTCATTTTCCGTCATTGGCTTCATGCGCATGGCGTTTCTTTGGTAGTAAATACATCTAAATAAGTGAATATCCAGACATACCCTGTGTATTAGCTGAGCTCCACGGCAACCGGCATTTTGTTGAGGATAGTTCAAAACCGTCCAGTGCTTTCGAAGGTCTTTATCTCTTCCATTGAGAACATGTGAGACAACATGTGTTTTGTCAGTCTATGCGTTGGGGTTATCAGGTGCTCTTACCTGGTTTTGTCCACTCTTCAAATCAGCGCACCAAAGTGAGGACGACGACTTGATGCGAGATACCTTCTTGGAACCCGTGATAATAGCCGAGCACCGGAAGAGCACCAGTAATGTACGAGTTGTCTGCTTCTTGGTTGTCCACACTGGCGGTTTTGATGTCACCAGAACGCCAGTAACAGGGAGGTGTAGCGCAGAATATTAGCAGCTCGGTTGCGAATAAACTTAGGTGTCCGAGTCGAACCGACCGAGATTTCACCATCTCGTAAGGGCTTGCTAAACGCTCAGGTTGAAAAGCGGTGAGGAGGAATCAACAGGAAAGGTTCCAAAAAACAGCATGGCCAAAATCCATGCTATCACCCCAATTCATTTTCACCGTAACGCTTTACTGAAATTGACATGGTTGTGTGATATTGAAGCACCAGTGTTTGGTGTTACTATGAGTGGTTATGATTACCCCTAACCCAAATGTGGTGGCATTTGCTAACGCAGACGAATTAACGCGATCTACAAATCACTCGAGGTAGGTCGTAAACTGGCGTACTCTGAACCGACAGGACTTAGCTCTGAATCTGACAGAAATTCACATGGATCTTCTTTAACCTATAGGTTGTGAGACCCCCACTAACCAACATGAACTTTTGACCGACATTTAACATTACTTTAGCCTGAGAGCTGGTAAATATTTCTTTGATCTGCTCTCGGTCTACTTTGGATTCGGACCAGCATGGTAACTGAGTTTCTTGACCTGATAAGACAGAACGTTGTCCGGGAAACACTCACCGATTATTTCCCAAGCTTTTCGAAAAAGCACAGAATCCACTTTCTCACGTTTAATCGCAGTAGTTTCAACCATATTTTCTTTCATGACTTTATTTTTCTGTTTTAGCCGTTCTACCTCCTGTTCTGAGACGTGCATACAATAGCCCCACGTAACAATGATTCGTCGTATAGTGGACTCTGTCAATCTAATGGTTGATGCTGAATCAGACGGTCAAGTAATCACTCTAGGTCGTGAAAGCGATGAACCAGTAACACCAAGATGGCTTCACGATGACTGCATGCCTGTCAGTGACACTAGTCAGACCAAACTACAGAGTTTAGAACCGAGTGTGGAACCTCAAGACCGTTCATCCAGTTCATCATTTTCGCCTACCGGTTTGGCACATAATTTTCTACAGTCCAGTGATTTTTTCGCTCCTTCCAGTTGGGAGGGGTCGCTTTCGAACACCACATCTTATTACGTGCCATCTATATCTCTAAGCCAACAACCCGTACCTGAACCGCTCAGCTGTGTTAACACCACGGAAGCAGGATACAACCACAAAATGCCTTTGGGGACCGAAACTGATTCGGAATCCGACAATAACAATAGTAGCGATATTGAGAGACGGTCCACTCCATCCCCAGGTACTCCTGGGTTTACGCGTCGTCAGTCGCCATCTCCCGGCGCATCGATCCATTCACCCTCATTACGTGGTCGTCAGCTACCTGGAGAAAAGTTGTTTGAGCCAAAAAAGCAAAAGCCAGAAGTACTGGAACAGCAGCCCACCAAATTTCATTGCCTTCCAGAACCTCAAAGATCATCACAACCCGTCCAATGCAAAAATGAAGTTAAGGAAAACCAAAAAGACATGGAAAAGGCGCAGTTAAAGCAAGCAGTCGAGGCTGTTGCTTTGTCTCACGATGCCGCAAGTTCTTCCGAGGTGGGAGTCGGTGGAACTTCCTGCCAGATGGATCCTGTTGTAATGACTATTGAGTGCATGATATTGCCTTTTGTTCGAGATCTCAACGAAGTTGAATTACGAATACCATCTAGCAGGTTGACGAAAGACCATCGCCGCATTTTAAAAAATGTGAGTCACAAAGTATCTGGGTGTAAGCCTGATTGATGTCATACGTTAGCAACTCTGTCGTTGGGGGTTTTATCGTTTTAGGGCCAGGCGGTCAAGTATTTCTAAGCATGGTAAAAAGTCAGATTTTCTATTCATGATCATAGTCATCATGATCGACAGCATGACATCAGTGTTCAACACCGATTCTTGATGAACAGGCCTCGTTTGACCCTAATTCACTAGTTCCAGCTGTATACGGCCGTCTACTTTCACACGCTGTGCTCAATGATCAGTTCTTGTTTAGTTGTGAAATGGTAAGCATCAGTTTACATTGAATGTATAGCATACAAACCTACTCCGGATGTAGAGGAAGGAAGCCCAAGCAACATTGCTCAGTTCAATTCACTTCATCACCTGTAAACCAGATAAGTTAGTGCTAACTATTACCGAAAGCAGGGGAACAGGTTGGATATAACCAGACATCAAAGCCGATGGTATAATCACTTCGTTACTGTTGAATCACTCCAGTTATCTGAAGAAAAGGAAAGCTGAATAGCTACGCATTCAGTGTGATAATGCAGGGAAACCACTGACTACTTGATTGGCCCATGTGTACCAGCTTCGTTAACCATTGATGAGATGAGTACCGGGGTCCCCATCCAAGAAAGCAACATTTATCAACCTGATTGCGTTTACTGGTTAGTGCTTCCTTAATTTTTTGCCAGGCCATAGACTGTCCACTTACTTGGTATTTATTGTTTCCACTTGTCTCTTTGTTATTGTTCTATTTATTTTCACTTATGAAAAAATACTCCACTTGTTTTGAGCCCACAAGTGTAGTTTGCATTTCATCAGTGTGGGTCATTAAGATGGCATGGTTTAGCAGCTTCGAGTTTGTCGGCGCTCGATAATGCCTAAATCATCTGCAACTCATTTCGATTACCGCTAACTGGTTTCCAGAATGCTGTTGTTCAGAGACAAATTGTGTACAACGTTTCTGAAGGAGTATTGTGTGTTTTTCTTCAGGTCCTCTTCTCGCTATGCACTAGCATCCTCAGCACTCTCTGTGAGCCTGAGAAACCTGACAGTATCTCACCCCATGTGTTTCAGTCGTGTTGCACCACAGTAATGAACCGAAGGATGCCACAGCTGAACGAGGTCCCAACACTAGGTTTAACGATCCTGTTTGCTCTTCATCATCCTGTGCGCGTCCATCTTCTATAACACCCCTAAATGCCTCGAAATTTCTTCAGACCCCGAAATCCGACCTACTTTGCTGCCTTTGTTACGTACACTCTGAAGCGAGCAGGATAATAAGCTGTGCTTGATCGGACCCTGGATTCCACCTGCATCGATGTATGCCTGTCAGAAACAAGAATCGAGTATTTGCACTGACCATCCTGTCGCTCTCCTCTCGTTTCTGGCTATTAACTTCTGCTGAGTGAACGCCTCTGGAGCTAGACATGCCGGGTTGGGTACTATGCTGAGCCATCGAACAGAGGTATGTTTAGTTGGCCGAATACTCATTGACGGTCGCCAATGGGCAGTTCGTTTGGTAACGTATATTAAAGACCCTGTAAAAGTCAGGCCTGTCACTCATTTAATTTACATGCTTGCGCTCCAACCGACTGTAGCTTGCAATCTACCAGATAACTTACATGACATTCTAAGTGTTCTTTTACGACAAGTCGAAAGCTCAAGCATCGTGTTTGCTGGTGAAGTGAACGTGCAGTTCGGTAAACGTGGATCTGCTGAGGCTCAATCGGGTAGTGGCATTGGATTAGACATGCAACATGTGGACAGTAGAGAACGTCTATTGGATCCGTGCTGACCGCAGGCTGTTCCTTTGCGATATCAACCTCCGGAACAGCGGAATTCTTTTAACCACATGGTATCCACCAACGAACTAGCCAGGAACCCAAGTAGGCTGAATAGTCGTCGGTCAGTGATGGCGAGGACCAATCACTGAAATACCCGTGTGGACTTCGGCATGGGGCTTGTTGCTGCTTTTCATTGTAGGTCCGCGACAACGCACATCCCATATGGCCATGGGGAAGTTAGTCAAGCCAGAACTCAAATATACTCATCAGAACCGACTTCTTCAAAGTCAATATGGGATGATCACTGCAGCGGGACATCGAAAGTTGCAACTAATATCGGAGCTTGTATATGTGGTACAACCCGACCAACCACTGGAAGCAAAAATGCTGGAAGTATCCGCGCTCCGTTTCACTTTATTCGTTCGACTGTTCATTGAAAATTTCTTGTCATCGAGCTTATCAAGGACCACAAGGGCTCTGTAAAGAACCTGTAAAGAACGTTTAGAAAAATATTCCGAACAACAACTCACTTGGCCACTCGCCACCTCATCGGGACCATCGCCCCTTGACAGAGAGTTGAACCATGGTATAAAACCCGCTTCAGCCTCAGAAGCTTTCGAGTGTGCATCCATACCCTGGCGTTACTGTGCTTCCGGTCTTGTCGACTTTTTACATGCTCTGTTCAGAAGAGATCATGGGCTCCTCAATCAGTGTTTGTATGCTTTAATTGCGTTTATCTGGGAGACCATTCCGGACAAATGGGATCAGTCCATCGTCAAAATGATACTTGTGATGAATGCAGTGACCACAGAGGTGTCAGTTTGACTTCCGTCTTAACAAGGCCTCTGGCGCCACTGATCCTTCGTTGTCTTGAGAAGGCAGATGAAACCTCAACCGGTGAGCTTCAGGCCGGTAGATGCTGCGTTGACATCTTCAGCTTTTAGTGCAATATAATTTCGACCCGCTGTCCTAGTGTTCATTGACTTCAAAGGTGTGTTCGGTTCCGTCGATCAGTGAATGCTCCTAACTACCCTGACTCAAAAGGAGACACCCCTAGTCGTGTGCATAATCCGCTCTTTATAATCACAATTTCTCGCGTGTGGGAGTGCATAGAGAGCTCTCTAAAAGCTTCTACACGAAAAGTGGTGTTAGGCAAGTATATCCACTTTCTTGATATGTTTTCAACTTTGTGGTGGACTAACCAATGATGGAAACGATGGAGGACCTTGAAAGCTTCAATATTCGAATCGTTACTTCGACTGGGCGAAAGGGTACGAAAGAGTAAGGAGTTTAGGCGTGGCCTTCCTCCCAAGATGGGGTATATATGACCCCAGCAGAGCTCTGCTAGACTAGAGACGTTGCAAGAAATGGTCAGCTGATCTCAGCATCTTTCGTGCTCCAAGTTTTTTCGAATTGGTCTTACTAAATATTTGGAGATGTGGGCATCTCAGAATGCTCGTGGTGGGCGGGCACCATGTCCGTTCCCAATCCAGTCATTTTTAGTTTAACGCTTCAAATTCAATCAGCTAGACTTTGTTTGTATGGTAGTGAGACATCAGTGTGAACGCTCTATGATGTTGATGATGATGGTGAAAAATCTCAAAACACATGGCTATTAAAACACGTCATAATGTATTGGAATGTCTAGTAGCATAGTTGTAGAATTGCTGCAGGGTGGATTGCATGTCAGAGCTTGTAGATGACGTCCAAAAACTACTTGTGTCAAGAAACTACACACATGATGTTCTAATACTGTGATCCAAATGTCATCACACAGGCTTCGCAGCGTACTGTCTCCGCGACTACTGATCCAATGCTGCCAGTTTAGCCTGGAGCTCCTGACAGCACTATGATCAGTGTATCCGAACTAACCCTGTGTGACCAACGGTGTGAAGCCACATTAGTAGGATACCCCCAGGATAGTATATCCCATAAATATGCTTAGAATGTGCCCCTGACATTTTATCTCTTATTACCACTTCTGAGCCCTGTAGCTTCTATCCTTGCGGTTTCCAAGGATGGCCGTCTGTGAGCTTTAGAATTCATACCAAATGAGGGCATTACTGATGCACTAACTGATGTTCCCCCCTGCCATGGACATTTAGTTGGCCGCAGAGTACGAGCTCTTGGTTCTGTCTGCCACCAAAGGTCCGGTGGATCAATCCAACTTGGTAGTTCGCAAACGAGCTTCTCTAATCCAAAGACAACAAGCTGAACTTGAGCGAAAAAGGCAGCGCGAGGAGGAAGAACGTGCTCGTCGTTTGGCTTTGGAAGAGGAAAATCGTCTACGGCTACGTGAGTTATCGGTGCCGTTTCTATTCACAATAAGGGACAAAATAGTTGAAGACGGACGCTCCTTGGTTTAATGTGATCTTGTGTGCGTTTATTGGTGGTTGGTCAGTTTTTTTATCGTTCAGCTGTAGCACCCTATCGGTGCCTTACTGCCATGCTACCCGAAGGTTGCACGAGGGCTGGGATACTGCCAGGTCGCCCAAGCCTAGACAGGCGAAGTCGAGAGGCGGAGGTCGGGTTCGAACCACGGACCTTCCGGTCGGTAAGTTCGCGCTCTAACCACTTGGGCCATCTTGCCCGTTGATCAGATGGCGCACTGATTATGTCTCCTCCACTGGAGACACGAAACGTTTGCAAGCCACTTGCCATGCTCGGCGAACAGACCAACGGCCATCTGATCAACCACCAATAACTATGATGAGTAAAATGAGCAGTAAAATTGAGTCTATCCTAAACCACCAGACAGCCAGTCATGATAATGAGCCTGATAATTCTCACAAACTTCGCCTTAGCTCCCATGGTTGTAGTCCATCGCTACTTTTCACGCAGGAAGTGAAGTTGACATTACTTCTTATGACCCATAGAGAGTTAGCTAAATACTGGTTTTTCGCTATGTGAAATTTGCGGTTCGAAACAGACATGCCCGAATTTTCGGTTGGATAATTAATTCGTTCTTTTGGGGAATAGCTTCAGCCAGCAACCCTGAGGCTTGGGCTGTACTCGTAACAGGACGCATCGCCACTACACATTCATCCCATCTTTAAATCAGCATCTGGTTGTGAGGAAGGCGTAGAGGGTCTTCTACCTAGACTTTAAAAGTGGCTGAGCCATTGCCTTTATCAAACGCTAACGAGCTGACTACCCTACTGTACGAAAATAGACAGTAAAAATAACCGCCTACCTGCCATGCTTACCGAAGCGAGCACGAGGGCTGAGACACTGCTAGATTGCCCAAACCTAGGCAGGAGCAATCGAGATACCGAGGTTGGGTTGGAACCACGGACTTATCCGGTCAGTAGGTTCGCTCTCTAACCAATAAGCGATCTTGAGTTGATTCAGATACCGAAACCAAATGTGCATCAAACCAGCAACTCATTTGCTAGAATCGATCACTGTACTGCATTTAATTCATCTGATCACTCACTAGTCGTGGATGATTAGTTTCGGGAAATTTCTTTTTGTGAGAGTTGTACTATGAGTATCACTGCTTTCTAACATTCTACCTTTGTCGAATCGGGGGACTGGAGTTATTGTTCCTTGTGGTAAACTTGACTTTCCGAATGGGTGTCACAAAATACGTTGAAAGGTCTCAGTTCTGATGCCAATATGTGGGGCGCTGTAGTAGTTTACATGTGTTGACAGTGACTCTATTGAACCCTGTTCGTATTTGTTCTTAGCTTCAAATCCAGTCTTCCTTTCAGGCACACTGTTGACTGATTCAATCTTCGCTCTTAATTGTGTAACAGTTCGTGAAGCCGAAGAGAAGATGAACGCTGCAGCAACGCGTCAGAGTACCTGCTGTCAAACCAATTTGGAAGAACCCAAACCAGAAGTTGGAGTAGGTTTCTCTCAGTCTTTTCTGTTTCTCTTTCTCGCCTTTCTACCTTGCGCAGACTGACTAATTGGTGTTTTAGGGTCACGTGGGTAGGTTTTTTGGGGGGAGGGCGCGTCCCTGTTGGTCCGAACGGTAAATCTAATCGTGGTTCCGTATAGATGAAACTGCGAATGTTTACGAATCTCATGTACCCCTAACCAGTGAGTGCGAGCGGATTGCGTAGATAATGAATTGGGGTATCAGACTGGTCTGGATTAACCAAGTGGATGCGAATAGAGCAGACCCCACAGTCCGTCTGAAGAGCAAGAGAGCTTGCTTAGTAAGTTTGGGAAAACTCCTCAGGCAAACGTCAACCAACGATAGCACGAAGATATCGCGTAGACGAATTGCTCGGGACCTGAATTCAGTCGAAGTAATCAGGGGATAATATACAAACATATGGGGTGACTTTAGCCGGATGCAGTGTCTTATTAGCCAAACATCACGTCGAGCACGAAGATATCGCGTAGACGAATTGCTCGAGACCTGAATTCAATCGAAGTAATCAGGGGATAATGTACAAACATATGGGGTAACTTTAGCCGGATGCAGTGTCTTAGTAGCCAAACATCACGTCGATTGGACGGATGTGTCACGTGCGGGTCACTTAATAAACGAAGGTATACCTTGATTGATCAGAATGTCAGCCAATTTGGATCGATCATCCGTAGGTCGACGCTTCTTGTCCCACGAAGTTTCCAGCGTGATCTGATGGAACATTCTGTGATGACCCTATCGAAATCGTTCAGCTGCAACACCCTTCTGGTGCCTGACTGCCATGCCACCCGAAGGTCGCACGAGGGCTGGGCTACTGTCAGGTTGCCCTATAAATACAGTTGTCTCCATAAAGGGTTGTCTCAAGCTACCGTACCTTTTGTTATACCGCATTTGGGTGAGCCAGGAAGCCAAGGACCGACATAGAAGTTGCACCGCCGTTTGTAGTACACGACACATAGGTGGCCGTCCCCATAGTTATAGGGACATTCGAGTCATGGGCCTTAGAAGTCTATCAACACCGTTAGCCAAATATGTTGCACTGGCCTTATATGAAGTGGTCAGCGTCGCTGTGCGCTCCAACGAATCGATGATCTAACGGTCAAAGGAAGAAGGCCTTTGCTGCGGAGTTATTAAGAAATGTCAACTGACCGGCTACAGACTATTGGACAGGGAAGCAAAACTCTCATTTGCATCTTATTTACAAAAACTGGACATCCATCTTCTCCTGAACGCGTCTTCTTGAACTTTCCTAGATATTCGTTGACTCCGGTCGTTTATTGTTCAAATCCAAGCAAATGTTACAAAGCGGCTCCACAAATTCCGCAACAGATCTCCCCTTTTCAAGAGACGCGACGCGAAATTCCAAGGACAACACACACTACCAGCATGCCTCCCATCAGTAGTATCACCGTTACAACGGTAGTAACCGGCTAGTCCGATCGAGCACACAAAGGCCTGCAGGGTGTTTTGGCTGTTTCGCTGCTGAGTATTAACTTACGCGCCTTCGGTTCAATTTTCAATCCGAAAAAACTACTTTGGTATACGTATCTGAACAAAATTTGTTGTGCAGTTTACACTATATTTTTTGTCGGTCTGTTTATTGCACAAAATTTCTCGATATCAATTTCGTTACATAATAAACGGTTGCTGATGAAATTCGGTTAGCCCACAGAGGCCGGGTGGGTTCTCAGGGAATTCCGAGTTTAAGAAAGCTGACACTCGAAGTGAAAAATATGGAGATTTGAAATTAAAGGCTCAAGAAAAAATAATTTCAGCACTTTCTTGTTACGGTAACGTTCTATGATAACGCAGCAATTATGGACCACGTATACGTCCTCTTCTAATGAAGATCACCTGTTTCGCCTACTCCACCGGGGTCGAGCCACATGGCCCAATATACACGTATTTAATAGTGTGAGTAACTATGAATCGGCCGGTCCGATTAATCAGTAAGATTGGAATCTGTGCGCTTGGTACATGCCGAGCTCAGCTTTGCTGTATAGATAGAAGCAGTTGTTCGGTTCGTTGGTGCGATCTTGGTGATCTAGAGGCTTACCGAACATCCTTGTAAGTTGTGTGTATTAGGTTGACTGAGTAGGGCCGCACCTGAAGAGGTGCGGCAAAGTATATTCCGTTATCGGAAATATGTCATGAATTCCGATTAGTCCACCCTATTTAGACTGTCCAGAGGGACGTTGACTGTCCTTACAAAAAGGTCATATGTCATAGCACACGCAAGCGCTCAACTAACCTAATCTCCGATTCTGTGTGAAACAGAGTAAAATGACCACTGTTCTAATTTTCTATGACTCAGAAACTACCTGGATGGCTGTGCACAGTTCTAAAATAACAGACTGAACTGGCAGAAACATAGACTGTGTCTATCGGCGGTGCATAAACATTCATAGAGGGGGTTGCTCGTAAAAGTGTGGGCCATGTGAAAAATTGATACTTGGTATCAAGGAGACAACCTTCAATATATCGCAGCTATCGACACGTGCAAGTGCTAAGAGGGAACTCTTTGGATTCCTGGTATAATGTCGTATGGGAAATGAAGTTGTGTGCAGTACTCAGCCAAATTGACTAGCTTGAGATGGACGGGCCCATGTTGACGTAGTTTCGTAATACTGCTCAAATAACGTCACAGTGAACATCGCCCATTCGCATATTATGATGTTCTTGATGGCCAATCTGGTCGCATAGCCGTACGACGCTGAAAATACGATATTTCTATTTGTGAATTTTACTGTATTTCACCTCCCGAAACGGGAATATGAGCGGAGTGATCGAAATTCTCAAATTTCCCCTGAAATGGAAGAAGATTTTGACTTTCTCTCTCGCTAATGAGTTGGAAAATACACTAAACAGCACCGGGTGAGTCACCTGGCCAGCTACAGGCCAGAATTCTAATTTTTCGTTAGGATTCTCAAGTCTCAGTTCAATTTATCGAACCCATTTCAAGGGATCTTGAGGTGGAGAGGCCACTATTGCCTTCTTATTTGTCGAATTATTCATCCAAGAAGTGATATCCGCTTTCCAATTCAATGGATACCATGTTTAGATGGTGGTGAGGCGCCAGGATCACTCATCCTATCTTTCCTCTTCTAGACGGGTCGAAAAAAATACCGGCGCTTGCGCAACGAACGACGCAAACTGGCCAAAGCGAAGCCGCCACCTACGAAACCGAAAATGGTAGACTCGTGTATCCAAACCGTCCCGGAAGATCATTGGTTGTGCCCGTGGTGCTTGCAACACATTCCTCCCGCGGCTCAGTGTGGACACGAAGCCGTTTGCCGTGCCGGTTTCAAACAAAAGCAGAAGGAACTGGAGGCCAAATCGCGACTGAAACAGCGAAACGCAGATGCTGAGCTACGACGAAGGCAGCGCTTGGGATTGAATCCATTGCCGAAGGAAAAACGCAAGTCTCAAAAAGTTACGACCGCGATTGTGGATGCTTCTGGTCGCAGTCGAAGTGGGACTCGGTTGGCGATCCGGGAAAAGAAGCTTAAGCACAAATCGGTGAGTTTGCGACGGGGAAAGGACTTTACTACATCATGCTGGGGTGCGGAATGCGAAATTTTTCTTGGCACCATAGCAGTGCTATACGTTCAGCTCTACACATAGAAGACCTATCGTTCGAAAGCCATGTCCTGCTGCCTGCCATGTTCAAGACCTGTTTATATATCCAGGGAATGCGCACCCGACGTTGTCATTCGATTCGAATTCCGTCCTTTTTAGTGGAGCTTTTACCCCGTAAGCGGAGCCAGTCTGTGTCAGAAACTGAGAAGTACTGTACACATGTTCTGTTCTTATTCGGACCCATCAGCACTGCGCGTTCTCAAATCTCCTCATACTACCAACAGTCTATAAGTAGCTCACAGTAATAAATAATAATAATAATCGTTCAGCTGTCGCACCCTTTCGGTGCCTAGCTGCCATGCCACCAGAAGGAAGCATGAGGGCTAGGATACTGCCAGGTTGCCCAAGCCTAGACAGGAGAAGTCGAGAGGCAGAGGTTGGGTTCGAACCACGGACCTTCCGGTCGGTAAATTCGCGCTCTAACCAGTTGGTCCATCTCGCCCCCGTAGCTCACAGTAAGAATATTTCACAAAATGACTGAAACTTCCTTCTGAGAAGTCGGTATTCGAGGAACCGGTCAACACGTGACCAGGTGATGCAGATTCCGTGAGTGAAGGATGAGCGGCGCTATATCCTGTTCAGGTGAGAGCTAGTCATACTGTTGTTCAGCCGCTCGTGACCGAACGGTTAAGTGTTCAACCACCGGCCGGAAGGTCATGAATCTGACACTCTGAGTTTCGTAAGATGCGGACTGCTGATGTTTTCCAATAAGGATTAGACAGTGCCTGTCAGCTTTTCAGCATAGACTAACAGGACAAAGTCTCAGTTGATGACTAGGATTGTTCATACATCTTCACAATTCTCGATGGATTTATGGTAAGTAGTATGCCATGGATTTGAAGCGTCTGCAGGGAATAATTGCAAATCAGGAGCGGTTTTCTCTGAAAAAGCGGTCCACCGATTGAAACTCATCAACTAGATTCAATCGACTGGCTATCGATTCACACAACTCAAGCCTGAACAGCGCACGTGGAGAGCAGGATCTGCTGAAAGTATGCATGCAGTCGCAAACCTCTGGTCATTGCAAGTGTACCTGGTGCGTTTTACATCAAAGACGGTGGCATTTTTTGTGATGCCACTGTTTGCAATGCCACCTGCCTTCAATTGTTTGTTGCACTACGAAGAACCACAACGATTACAATTCCTGTTCCTGGCTCACGAGTAGATCGAACAAAGCTATGCGCTGCTACGGACCGGACACACTGGGATGAGACACCAGTACTACTTAACGTGAGGATGACTGAAGTAGGATTGGTTGTCTGGTTCCGTAATCTTGCACATTGAAGTTGCTGAGGTTCCAATGAGGTTTGGAGAACAGTAGGCTAGTTTTTTCCGACAAAGGCGTGAAGGGATCAGACTACCCGCGATAGACTTCCAAGACGAGGTGCGACCGTTGTTAGAAATCTGATGGCGACTGTGCTTCATCCTGTGGAGCTCAAGTCACACTGAGTGCGTTTAGAATCAGCCTAAGAGAAAACCCAGCAAAACACTACTGGTGACGTCGAAATTAAAAATAAAAAACGTATTGGAAGATCACGTAATAAACACAGTCCCCAATATAGCAGTTTGTTTTTTGGTTTCTGTATATTTATGTAACACTGGGGTGATTCTCTCTTCGATTACGGCCGTTTGGAATCAGCTGCATGCAACACGGTGCACTGTTCGGTAGGTCTACGTTGGTTACATCTGCTATCTAGGCGCGGTTTTGCCAGGAGAAGGGACATTCATTGTTCAGTAACTGATGCCACGATCACAACCACGCCTTTTCCATGTTAAATGTTTGGACGGTTTCCAATGGATATCGATAAAATTCATACGATGGTTGAATCTTCGTGTACTGACAGAGTTTTGTAGACAAATTGGCATGAAGTCAGTGTATCCGGATGAAGGGACTATACAATGTGGCATTTCTGCATGTTGGACGCCTCGATTTCACATCGAGTCATCGTGACCCCATGTCGGTCGGTCTTTCTTGAAAGTTTTATCGAAAACTTTTTGTAAAAAATATCAGGCAACCTTAATTTGGAAATGGCCTATTTATTTCACCAGCCGATCCACCCGATTTACTAATTAAGGACACATGGGAAAGAACTCAGGGTTTGATGTTTGGTTGGTGGGAGGCCCACGTTTTTCGGCGAACAATAGTAGTGACGAGAAGTTTGCCGCCCCATTCGCATCATCCATTTTGCCAAATTGCAACACAGAATAAGCTGGTTTGAAACGCAACTACTCTATGATCTGCTCATCGTTCCTGACGGAACTGCTCGTTCTCATTGCAATAAACGGGGCGATTAGTAGCGGGTTTGTAGCGCGCCCGTAGCCATGGTGGTGGTAGTGATGTCAATACCGGAATGCCTTGTCACGTACCATGGCGGCAGGTCAACGCGCTCGTGGTCGAGTCAGCTGAATCAGCTCGACTGAATTTCCCTTTAAAACCAAATAGGTATGCAAATGAGTGTATTTAGCTGATTTCGTGCAATTTGGGTCTATGTAGAACATAAGGCTGACGGAAACTCGGGGACTGCGCCTACCTGATGAGTTTCAGGAAGAATGAAATCGGTCGCGAGCTGCCGAGAGGGGTTTTCAGCAGCCGTGTACGGTCAAAGAAATATGCTGTGATATTTCGAATATCGCACCAACTGCAATGTCACTCGGCCTTTGTTGAGCACATCCAGTTGAAGAACGTCACAGTCGGGAAATTCGGCTGGGATTTATTTTGGTCTCCCATCAAAATCTAATTAGGGCACAAATTTCCCCAAGGGAAAATTTCGTTCCCATTGTTTCGGAAAAAAGACAATTAAAGACGAAATTGACCCCCGATTTGCTGAGCCAGACGTGTGAAAATTATCGTTGGGTGAGCCGCTTGGTTTTCCCACCTGGATGGGGTTCAAATTGTCCTTAAGAATGGATGTTTAACAGAGCTGAACTGAATTTTAATGTTGGCGCACCCGGGGGTTTGTCACGTGTTTCTGACTTACCTTATTCCAGCGTGTGCATCACACGGTTTACACACGCGTCATTTTTACCTCTGCAAGATATTCATAACTTACCGTTGGCGTTCAGTGGCGGCAAAGCCACATTGGATGCCGAGTTTTCGTCCGTTAAACATTGCTCACCTGAAGCAAACTTTTCACCACATTCTTCATTTCAAATACAGATAGTCGATCTAATTATTGCTATTTATACTCCGGAAGTTTGTCCACAAGGTGGTTATGTCCGTGTATTTTTCCGTGATTTTTCTACACACTTCTGCCGCGCCATTGATTCTCCCGGTTGCTATGTTTGTACACCTGAAGAGCACAACATGACATCGATCGGTGCGTTTTCACACCCATCAACACACTGCTGAACTCCTGCTGTCGACCTTGCTCTAGAGGTGCTATTCCAGTTTCAGCCTATCTGAAATCGCGACTCACTCGTTCGTGGTCAGCTGATCAGAGTGAGGAATATTTCACCTGCGGATTCGTTGCAGCGTAAGAGCATTGCTTCTCTTCGGTTGCAACCACCAAAAGCTTGGGAATTACGGATGCAAAGCTAATGGAGTTCATAATGTGCATTGTTGTTGTCGTCTGGTAAAGTGATACAACAAAGAGGCATTTTCTCTAGCTTACCCCCGAAGAAAATCACCGATGCTTCATTGCTTATGGGAACCTCAATTTTGCCTTGGTTTTAAGCAAGCTAAGGTTAGTTTTAGATGCAATCCGGAAAAAAAAACAAAATTCCATTATTTCCTGAAATCTTTCACAGTTGCCCATTAATAAGCGGAATTCTTCGGGGAGGGGGGGCGTCTCCATTGCATCATAGCGGGAGTGTCGCATGTTTTGAAGTAACTCTGAGAGGGCCCACTCACTGAAATGTGAGACACCCGTCAGAGGCTTCAACTTGTTCTATTAGGTCAAATGAGGCTCTGCAATGAGCATAGCCACACACACTCAACACAGGTGCTCAGGCGAGAACACCAACACACAAGCACTGGCCCATTTAGCCTTATATCAGCGTCTACTCGGAACGGTTTGTCCCACATCACGTTTCTTGCAGCAAGCCGATGGATGTCGTTTGCTTGCCCTAAAGTGCTGCAATCTCCAAGGCCATTTGGGAGGTATCACATGATTCTGGTGTCCGTACATGTCTTCCATGCGGAGGGCATTCCGGAAAGATGTCTGATGAGGAACAAAGAATGGAAGTACAAACTGTATTCATGAGCCCAGACGTCCGGCACAATATACGAGACAAGTACCCAAACAACTACGTACATGCTTAAAAAATGGAAGACATAGGCCTCAAGCTCACAGGAATTCTGGACAGCTACAGAAGCTTCCCTGGGACTTGGTCACTACGCTATGCGCACTGGCCGAAGGGCATTGTGATGACCTCAGATATACCCACCACACCCATCTACTATTGCATGCGTTTCAGCCACCGAAATACCACATGTGCGCCGAATCTCATGCAATCAACGTATGCTCTGACTGTATTGATTGATGGCGATGAACAAGTTTCCGCTATCTAGACAATTCTAGCACCTACAATCACCCGTCCGGTTACCGGTACTGAACACTCCGCTTCTGCAGGACAACATTGATAAGAGTGTGTAGCTTTCTCAAATATTCACCAATGTTATCACGTGCCCGACCCCTTTGTAACTAACGGCCTCCCAGTCCTATTCACCCTTCTTATCACCAGAAGTATGCGGTAACTGTTCATATCTTCTCAGTGAACAGCTTCAATCATGCTTCTTTAAAAAAAAGTCCAAATTCCTACATTGACCAAGGTCGACCTCATGTGTACTACTGCTCAGTGATTAGAGCGCGAATTTACCTACCGGAAGGTCCGTGATTCGAATTCCACCTCTACCTCTCGACTTCCCCTGTCTAGGCCTGGGCAACCTGACAGTATCCCAGGCCACGTGCTTCCTTCGGGTAGCATGGCAGCTAGGCACCAAAAAGGTGTTACTGCTGAGCGTAATACTGCTTGGGATACTGTCTCGTTAGCTTGAATGACCACCCAACTGAACCCCGGACAGCCCTTTCACAGCACATTTGGTTGAAGACCAGTATTTAATTGGAGGCTCGATTGAATCCCCAAATGCAAATATACAACTTGTCCAACGTCACTTACTGAGTAACAGACGATCGCGTTACCGGAACTGGGCAACGAATGCACTTTTTTTCCAGCTGAAGCAATGTACACATATCCATCCAGCTACTCTGTACCATGAAATCCCCCCAAGAATACGCACTATGGATACCAGTTGAGGACCGTGCTTTCATCAATCAAATCAAAGTGGAAGCAGTGCGCTTGCGCAGCCCGCCGTCGTATACTATCTCAATACCGCGTGTAAGCTCACAATGGGAATTCATCTTCCGTTAGACGATGCGAAGTGCACACAAAACTCATGCGCTCAGCCAAGCGAGTTCGTTTATTTAATTTCGTTCCTCAGGTCTACAATCACGTGTCAATTAACTATCCCCACCCGTAACACATTCTACTTTACCCTGCTGAGTTCATCGGACGGTAATCTCTCACGTAATTGTGCAACTCAAACAAATACGTGTTTAGTGCTCTTGTATTGGTTATTCTTCCTTCTATATGTACAGAAATGAAGCACTGACAAATCCTGGTTGAGCTCAAGATAGATCTGTGGTTAGGGCGCTAACTTACTGACCGGAAGATCCGTGGTTCGAACCCAGCCTCAACATCTCGACTGGTCCTGTCTAGGCTCGTGCAAACTGGCAGTAATTCAGGCCCCCCTTCCGTTGGCATGGTAGCTAGGCGCTGAAGGGGTGTTACAGCTGAACGACTGATTGATTTGATTGGCTGATTGCACTGAAATCTTATCAGACTTATCAGCCGCTTCACACTAATGTTACGTGATTCGTTCAGTCGGTGTACGAAGATAGCTCACATTGACGTGTTTGTTTTCCGGTCTTTGTCACGCTCCAGCGGTCAGGCGTGATAATTTGGTGAATCCGACCTGGAGCGAACTTTAACCTTTGCACTTTGAAAAAAGCTCTTGTGTTTCCACTAAACCGCTAGATACTTGAAGAGATGCACCACAGAGTAGTGTCGGTTTCGGCCAACTAGGTTTTTGCCATTTTTCGTTTTTATCGACCCATTATCCAAAAAGTCCTTTTCTCAAAACAGACAGCTTTTGTTCAGTCCCTCAGGTGGTCTTTTCGTAGGGAGTGAACTGTAGTTTGCGACCATTCAAAGATGGGCTAGTGAAATCTGTTCAGACCTGTACAAGGAGGCTTGAGAGTATTGGGCTGGGTACGGTAGTCCCCTAATACTGTGTGGATTTCTGTACAGTGTATTTGAAATGTCACTCTGCATCACTACTGAGTACAAAACAGAGCTCTTGTGTTCATTTGGAACAGCTCGTCTTCGAAAACAGCTCTAGCTCAATTGACTGCGTACGTTAGCCAGCTGAGAATAACCGAGGTCACAAACATCCCAGCCACTGAGGAATTTAAAATCAAACAGGAGAGCTCAACCTCAGAATCAAGATGGCTAGGATGACATGAACTTCAAAATCGATCGACGGCCGATATGATGTACATCTTGCAAGACGAAACTGGTTATCATGTCGAGACAAGAGGCTGCTTAATGATCAGGCTAGTGTATTCTCAAGCACGAATCACCCCATGCGTAAGATGAAACCTGCCATGCCTCTTCCCCCTTACCTTTAACTGGCAGAAATGCATTTTGTGTACTGGAGTCAAATAGGCTGTACACCGAAACATCACGGCGATCCATAAATGGAAGTGAATCATTTTCATAAAGGAATCTACTCACAAGGTTGCTGAAAACTCTTCGACAGCCCACGACCGGTTTCGCCCTTCTTGGGGCGAAGAGTTTTCAGCAACCTTGTGAGTAATTTCCTTTATGAAAGTATACTGCGATATCTCGAATGTCGTGCCAACTGAATCATGAGGCGGTCTGTGTGTAACACATTCAATTGTAGAATACCATAAACGAGGTTGAGTCTCCGTGAAAACCAAATTGATTTGCAAATTAGTGTATTCCTCGGAAGTGAATCATCTGTTTTATCACGTCATCATTCGGCAATCTGAGCATGCATTTGGTGCGATCTTTCCAGACGGCCGAAAAGTGTCTGCTAACGAAAAAGCGTGGTACCAAGGTTACAAAACCTCCAGTGAACAGAATGAACACTAAACTCACCAACGAAGGTGTCGGAAACCTTACTGCACGCTATTAATAACCCAATGAAAACCCAGGTCCCTGTTGCCTTTCTATGTTTGCGTGTCGATTTGACTTCGAAACGATGGTTAACTCAGAACAATGCTACCACCGACGGAACCAGTAGGAGAGGAGAGAGAGGCTATAATCCGGCCTTTGTCTGTGGGCCTTTTGAAAGTAGTGTACTCGGTTACTGTAAAGTTGACCTGCGCATAGGCTCACCCCGGTCCTTGGTACCCGAAAAACAGGAATCCAGTGTTATAATACGTCAGTCTTTAGGTTTTTCTACAAGATTTATGTGATCATATGGATGCGCGATTTTCTTCAGGATCAAACCAACATGTTTGCAAGTAGTGATCTTACATTAACACCGATGGACTGACGACTATCAAGTAAGAATCAGGCGATCAACTTCTTGGTCTCGTTTGCACAGTTTTGTGGGCAATGCGGGTCCGGACTAACGCGAAGTAAGACAGGATGGTGACCGAACACACTGATCAGCTAATTCCTTCTTGATAGTAGCCGTTTTCCAACGGCATTAACAATCCATGAACAAGCTGTTCATACAATAACCGATAGATTAAACGTGCTTGAAACACGCCACCTTCCCTATTCTATTGTAGGATTCCTGGTGAATTGGTAGCTGCCAGTCTAGGGCCGTGTTAGATTGGATGCAAAATTGGCATCCCTGTGTGTTGTATTCATCTCCTTCGACACAAAGACGTTAGAATCTTTCTTTGGTTGTCCTATTTCGAGTTTGGAGTGCCTGTGTCTCTCTCGTGGAAGTGACGGTCAATCCACTCATTTTAGCGATATTTGCAAGTAGCTCCTAAAGCCACGATGTTTAAAATGCTCATACATACCGCTCTCCCTATTGGTCTATAGCTCACTCGGCTCCGGTCGTCTAGTCGAACCGATCCAAAGAGACAAACTACCGCGGTGATCAAGTTGGACGAAGTACATCCCAACGATCTAGGAGCCATGGCTCGCTTGATGCAGAGACTTTGCCGCGAGCCACAATGCAAACAACTGGCGGATGCTGGAGACTCAGGTTCACGCCCAGGAGGAGTGAAGTGTCCCAACTGCCGACATATATATTGTGACCACCATCGACCACTGGGAATGCATACCGGGTGTCCAGTGGAACCAGAGGCGGACTCGGTCGCTGTCGGTTGTTCGATTGCTTGTGGCATGGATTTGGAAGAAAAGCGGGCCGCACTGAAGTCAGCGATTCGTCAACGGAGAGAGGTGTTGATGGAACGACGTCAACGGCAATATTAGGTTCTTCTCTCTACAGAAAGGCTGTGACGCCCAGTAACCAGTAAACATATCACAAACAGTGCCTCCGTAATAATCAGCTGATGCTTTTTTGCCTTATAAGAACTAATCTAGCTCACTACCTATTTTTAGCTTGAGGCTTCTATATTACACGTTTTGTTGTAGACCACTAGTTCTTGTAGGGGAACTCATGTTTGGGGTTTAATCAAGCTCGCTTTTGGTCACGGTTATCAGCATTTGAGGGCATTCGAAGCAGACGTGCAATCCCATAAATTAGATTTTAAAAAATGTATGGTGACCAATATGGCCATAAACCAAGTCTCAACACACAGCGGTTTGAACTGCTTTACTCTTCTACTAGCTAACGACAGAATCATAAGGAACAGAATAATCACGCATTGAAGACCCGAGCTTGCACCGGTTCAGTATGGAAGTTGTCGACAATGCCGTAGATTTGAGTTTCACTCACGCCTAACTCGTTCTGTTGCTAAGGTCTCAGGGGAATAGTACATCTGCCCTCTACACATGGGCGACAACAATTTGTAAAACTCGTATTTCCACTTACTGATGCCAAACTCCCCAGGGGTGTGGAACACAGGTTGACCGAGCCAGGTGGGACCTGATCAGTGACGCCCGTGAGACGCTGCGTTCCAAAGTCGACTATTCTCCTCGTACGGGTTAGTAAACGTAAGCAAATTATCAACTACAGTAATGCCCCTGACGAGAGTGAAATAACCAAGTTACAAGCTTTTTGCACTCCCAACAGAGCGGCCTGGTCGCTCACTGGAAAGTAGCTTTTGTGCATATCCTCACAACTACGGCTCTGGCTGAGACAGAGCGTTAATAACAGGTATCATTTGGAAACCATTTCAATTTCATTAATGTTGTTGAGTCGATACCAGCGAACACTTTAGTGGCTCCAACAGCCTTTACTGTTGGCGCCAGAAATCTTCTAATGGACCTCTGTAGGATGCTCTTACCTGTACAAATTAGTGTATTGAAACACAGCACCTTCGTGGTCGGAAACCTGAAGTGAATCGAAAGAGGTGTGTCCTTGTTCTCAAGTAGGCTTGGCACCAAAAATTGTGACCAAGTCGGGAGATATCGGGCGGAAGTTTGTATCCGGTTCCACAGAATGCAATCTTCGAAATATGGAGGTTTCAGAATACCCTTTGGCGGACGTGTGCTCAACGGTGGGCACAGAGGAACTCAACCGATTCACAAGAGTGGAAAGTGAAGAGCACATGTACTGGGAATCACAGTTAGCCCAGCTCGGCTGCGCACGCAGAGCGTTCTGGATTTCCATGTTTGCTCCCTGGTTGTCTTGGTTACAAGGGTACAACGCACCTGTCGTCAGATTCAGGGACACGGCAATGGATGACAGAGAGACCCGTTTGTCTTCCTGTCACCAATTCTCCACATCCTGTTTACTCTGTAAATTAAAATGACATTTCTCAGGCGCATGTTTCTTCATGCCGGCTGGTTTCCACAAAAAAGTGGTTCAAAGCATGTGTCCCCAAGAGAGGGTGCTACTAGCCGGTATCGAGGATGCGGGCGCCTCGAAGGGACGCTGCGTTAACAGCTCGGCCTTTCGGTTTATACCGCTCGCGTCAGCACCAATCCGTGATTTTGCGACAGTGTGACATTATGGTTTAGTGTAGGTGGAGGGCTGCCTCAGAAAGCAACGCCATTGCTAGATTGCAACCTAAAGGTGACCACCAAACACCCCGGATTGGTGATGCCAGCGTGTCTTGCGCACTGTTTCGATCGAAACGATATTCCTCAACAACCAATACTAGGACGAACAGTTTATAGGAAAGCCTGTGAAACCAAAGCGCAAATGGAGCGGATAGCATCCTCTGACAGGTTCGGTGGAAATTAATCAGAGCCATCGCACCATTCTTGACTTATGACGCCTTTGAACCAAGTAACTACACATGGCATTTTACAACTGAACGGTCTACGATCAATTAATGAAACCTACGAGAGTAACACTAGCTACCTTCCGTACAGACTGGTGAGGCGTGGATCTGGACACAGTCGAAAGTTTGAGAACTGATCAGGCGTTTTCGATCGGACATCGATTCCACAAAAATGCAAGTATCGGAGAGAAACGATTCAAGGTCAACATTTATTTTGCTTACAGCCAAGGTCAGAGCACAAATCAAAGAAAAAACACGTTCGACATCAAATAGGGATAAGACAAAGAGGATTGTCAGGCGTGATCTGCAGGTGCAGTTAGTTAAGTAGGCAACCGACAGTCAGCTCAACTCAACCCTGGAGATTGTTTGTTCATAGCACGTGAAGGAGCGAAGCCGAGCATCTTTTGCACGTTCTACAAATGAGAGGAACATGGACGTATTGTGTGAGAATAGAAACAGTCAGTTTTGGATAGCATTCTACAGACCACCAGCAAATCTAGCTGGAAACGCTTAGTATATGGTGTGCTTAGCCTTTCCAGATAACATATGTAAAATTGTGCGTTGGAAGTCCAAGTATGTTGCAACTTTTGACAGGTGCACGTGACTTGAACATACAAAAACCACAAAATAAAGGGAACCTGCTCTCTTGGCACAAACGGTTTGATCGTGGGAAGAGACTAGCAAAGCAACTGACACCACTCACACGAGGTGTTTGCAGTTGAATTGCACAAGGATTATAGTAGTGTTGTTGGCAACGATAACATTGGTGAATATAGTACAAATAAAAAACCGGAAACACTGATTCGACGAATCATTCCGACTGCTTCACACACAAATATATTTGTGTCGTAACCTCAAGCAAAATTAGCAGAACTATCAATAAGTTAAAAAGATTAGAACCTTCTGGGGAGTTGTCATTCACTGAGAGGACGGACAAGAGACTCCATGAAAAGCGTCCCCGTCACTATGCTCGCGGTGACACTCCAGCGCTTCCCAAAGTCCAGTGTTGTGCCCTGGTGACTGATTTGATCCCCGAGAAACAATGACCTGTCGAAATCCACAGTGTTACCACCAGATTCGGCAAAGCTAGAAAGTGGTGACAAGGCATCTATGAACCACACAACAGCTCATTGTAGTTTCGGTCACCGGAAAAAACGGAACATAATGGGAAGCGCTGGCAGGCATTGGAGGTGATAATATTATCACTTATTTGCAGCTGGGTCCGAAGGAACGCGAAATTGGACGCCTGTGTGCAAAAGTCCATTGTTTTGATGCACGAGCGCCTCTGACTGCGTGGCTGAGCCATGACAGTCGGTGTCATTACGCACTGAATCCCGAGGTCCCCATCTAGAGTGATGGAATTTGTAGGCCCGATCAAGTTTATCCGTTCATGGTTTCACACTTTGTTGCCTCTGGGCCATTTCCGCTCAGCACATGGCTCGATAAAAGGAGATCTGAAAGGTACACGATTCTTAGGCATTCGAAGTGCACATTCTAACAAGCGTGGGAAAGTTCGTTTTTCCTGAAGCCATTTGTTAAACCTCACAACTGCTAATCCGACGTCTTCACTAGGTCCAGCCAATGCGTTCGAGACGAAAGTTGAGAGCTTTCGTAATCATTTGCGAGTAAAGACAATGTTTCTGAGGTTTCATAACCAAGCAGAGAAGTTTCAAGTAGCAGGTCGAAGATGAAGAGTAACGGTGAGGGCGGCCTTGTTTTGCACCATCAGAAGTGATGAGTTCAGTTCACATGCATCACATACACCGAAGTGCAATGGTTCCAACTGCTACAAGTTCGTTCATCGGGGATAAGGAAAATAAGGGAATAAGCCACGAGTTTGAGGCGATGGCCGAATCAGTTCATTTGGCACCGGATGATCGTTTGTCCGGTGTGGTAGCGAGAAGGCGATAGCTTTGATGCGAGACAGTAGTTGGCTGCGTGACAATGTAAGGTTCACTAACCATTGATTTGTATAGTCCAGGAGTCCCCAGCCAGGGAGACGGCAGTTACAAACGCGACTCAGTTGACTGGCAAGGGTTTTCACGCTTCGTTGCCACATCTTGGATTGATCACCCTTGGGTTGTCTGGACGAGGGCTCTACGAGGCAAACGGTCCTCTGGCATCCACAATACGCGGCCTAACTAGAGCAACCTGTGAGGGAGACGGAGTTACAAACGCGACTCAGTTGACTGGCAAGGGTTTTCACGCTTCGTTGCCACATCTTGGATTGATCACCCTTGGGTTGTCTGGACGAGGGCTCTACGAGGCAAACGGTCCTCTGGCATCCACAATACGCGGCCTAACTAGAGCAACCTGTGTAGTACGATCAGCTGATTTATCGAGAGAGTGAACTTTCCGAAGAAGCAATACTCGTCTGATGTTCCCACTAGTTCCGCGCAATGATGGTCAAATACAGAGAACTTTCGAAGGTCATCCACACACAAAGACCACGTCTCCGATCATTAAAGGAGGACGTCTTGAAGTGTTCTAGCTAGCTAGGATAGTGTCGGCGAATCAGAAACGCGGCTATGCAACGGAAACTTCAATCCAGTACCAGGAGCTGCGTTAGTAAGGTCATGTATTGTGCACGCCAAATCAGTGTTTATTGAAAGGAGTACTGTTTTCCGTGCTCAAATCAAAGTGGCGCGAGCAGAAAGGTAGTCAATCTTCGATTCGCCTCAGGAATGGGGTCATCGTGATCCCCGTTGTGCATCGTTGGAGACACAGGAAGACGTGGCTGTTAATCGATGTCAGTGGAGTTCTTGTTGACAGTTTCCATCCAGATTGCTGACCACTTCCCATAGCCTGTCCGCTTCAGTCAGTAGTGAATGTACCATCCTTATGTGATTCTTGGGATGCCAAAGAAGAACAACGACCTCATGATCAAGCTCGTGACTCAGACCTTTAGATACAATGGGAAGTCTTGGCGCCGACTTTGAGGCGCCGCGTCCGGTGCCAACTTTTCTCGAGGGTTCTGTCGAAAACCCATTACTCATTTTCTGATCATGATAGCCCCTACTCCCGGCGTACTCGTTTGTTCTGAGCCTGCCATGTGTGGTCTGACATCTCGGTATGGGCTACCTAAAGATTACCTAAGGTTACCGTTGGACAATGCGGCAATTACTATGAAATTTTTGCACACCCCCCTCGTCTGGTGTTGCTGTCAATGATGACGAAGACCCCTATATAGCTACGAGGTTTCAAGTGAGACTCTTTGACAAGGCTGTGTTATTCTT